GTGGCCTAATAAAGAAAATTCTAAAAGCAATTAAGAGTGTAGATGAATTTCTAAACAGTCTTACTAAATAAGAAACACAGAGCCAAATACAGAGGTATAAGCCCTATAGATCAGAGCAATAGCCGCCAACTAACCTTAGCTTACCACGTCCCCGTAGTTTCCCAAAAGAGCCTCTTTCTATCTAACCTGTGCTTTTATTGCCTTACTATTCTGCTTTCTCATTGGCTCTAAGCCCAGCCAATCACTTCCTCATCACTGCCTGTCTATACAGACCTCCAGGTCTCTATGGTTGTTACTGGGATTAATGGTGTGTGTCACCACACTTGGCTGTGTCCTTGAACACACAGAAACTCTGCCTGCCATGTGATTGGATTAAGGGTGTGTGCTACCACCACCTGACTTCTGTTTATGGCTGACTATGACCTCTGATCTCCAGGCAAGCTTTATTTATTAACATACACATAAAATATCACATTTCAGCACAAATAAAATCTCACCACATAAAAGAGAATGCTTAAGTTAGAGAGCTATAGCTGAATTCAAAAGGTACCCACCAGAATGGTTTCTACAGCTTTGCCTAGGGATACAAGCAAACAACGCTCTATAGAATACAAATAAAATTCAGCCTTTCCCTCAACATTCTTTCAAAAAGTAAAAATTGAGAGATAGCCTATATTCATGGTTTTAAAGTGAAACATTGATGTATGGTGTCTTGGATAACTTTATGGATGAATATCCATAACTAACAGACATATAGGTTTCAAAGAATTATCACCAGGTAAATTTAATAAGTACCTCTGGACTCTTTAAAGAGAAAGATTCTTTTAAACTTAAAATGATCAATTTTTCAAAGAGATTTGGGGAAGTCTACTGATCTGTTCCGAAGAACTAAATCTACTCAAGGTTGCATTCCTATACACCAGACTTCCATGGTGATCAAACATACCCAACATCTGTTTCATGTCTATTATAACATTGCTGGAAAAACACATTAAATTATCCTGAGGTAGTCACATGTTAAATGAAAGAAGAAATCACATTCTGTTCTGGGCAACTTTGAAAAGCCTCAAAATGGAAATGTTTGTAATTAATAAATAAAATTACTGATGTCATTTCCTTTTTTCTTAACTCCTCACCACTTTCTCTTGTGATATATTCACTTGCTACATGGTAAGCTACATGAAGGGGGAGATTTGGATGAATAGGCTCTATTATTCAGTTGTACTTTGAGGTATAGGTTTAGCAGGGACATGGGTAAGTGGTATCATAGTTTCTTTTCTTATTGCTGTGATTAAAAAATGCTGACAATAACAACTTAAGGAGGGAAGGATTTATTTTGGTTCACAGTTCAAAGGAACAGTCCAGTACAGAAGAGAAACCAAGCTGGAGGATGAGGCAGCTGGCCTGATGATCTCCATCATCAGGAAGAGGCAGCAAGGAAAAATGCAAGTTTGCTACTGCTCAACTAACTTCCTTCCTCTGCTTTATACAATTCAGGTTCCCCAGCCTGGGGAATGTTTCCTCCAGGATTGAGAGGAGTCCTCCCACATCAATTAATCTAATACCCCACAGTCATTCTCAGAGGCCCTTCCAGCACATGGTTCTAGATTCTGTCAAGTTGACAAATACCAGCATAAATGGTCAGCTCTTTGAGGCCAGGATTCCTTTGACTGGAAAAACTTCATGAAAGGATTTCCTAGTTGCTTGTTGCTTGGTTAACTTCTCTCAAATACGTTAAGTAGTGCCCTTGGTCTCTAGAATCTGCAAACTATTCATCAATTAAATGGTTGTCTAGGTCTTAGCCAGAGGTGGTGTCCTAGCTTCATCTAGGCTTTCACACTGTGACAAATGCTGCTTTTATCTCATTACTCAAGATTCTCATTGTCTTCTTAAATGAACTCATCCCTCAGAATAAATTGCAGTAGGGAGAGTTAGGTGGATGATCTTAAACTTTATGGCAGCAGAGATAAATTTTGTTGCAAATGAAATTCCAGATTATCAAAATTGTAAATCCACTTAAACAACTGTCTGTGATTTGAATTACAACAGTACATTTGGTAAGCTTTAATTTCTTCAGCGAAGCTCATCTTTAGACTGACTTTTGACAGTGGCAAGGGCTGAGGAGCCAGAGGAAACAGATGACAATGTGTCATACGCACCATCATAGGGAATTGGTGCATCATCTATTGAGTGGTGGAGAACCACTAATGTGCTTTAATGTGGAGGAACTAATAAATGTACGTTCAAACAACTCCAGGTTCAGTGTGAAAAATGACCCAAGTCCCTAACTGGATGGGGCTGCTAGGGGAAACCAGGTCACAATTGTTGAGATGTCAAATGCTTTCCCAAGTTCAGAAGATTTCTATTTACTAGCAAAGGACAGTGTAGTTCTAAATTATAAGGGAGAAGATGAAGGTATGCATTAGATTTTTTAGAAAGGGAATAGGTTTTAACAGCAAGAAACTGCAATTAATGATCACAAAGGACAGGATAAGGAGACAGCACTCCATAGATGGAAGACTTGCTATCCAAGCAAAGGATCTGCAGCCAGATCCCCAGAAACTACACAGAAGCAAAGGATGATGGTGTGTCTGTAACCACTGCCCTGGGAGACGGTGAGAGGAGGAGCCAACCAGTCTAGCTGAAACAGCAAGGTCCACGTTCAATGAAAGACCTTGTCTTCAAAAGCAAGGGGAAGAATGATCATCAACCTCTGACCTCCAACACACACACACACACACACACACACACACACACACACACACACACACACACACACACACTTCCCAACAGATACCCTTTTCAGAAAGAAAATTCAACCCCATGGGTTTTTTGAATTTGAAGTTCCTGAGGGCATTTGGAGAGGCAGGACTTGGGAATCTTTTTTAAATCAATTATTTAGCTAGCTAGCTGTACTTGAAGTTAATCTGGGGAAACAAATGAGATATCTTAGAGAGACCACATAAGACTAGAACTGAGAAAAAGACCCACAAATGGGGACAGGGAAATCATTGTTGGTATGCTAGGGATAAAAAGGAATCAAAAGAACATAAAAAACTTTAGTCTCTGATGTTTGGGCATAACAATCAAGGCCTAGCCACAAGAATTACTAGCCTAAAAGAACAAAATATGGCTAGCATGGGAGAGCATTTTTGATTGGATACTCAGAACAATATAAAATCTAATGTGGCAGTACATACCTGTACTCTTAGCACTGGAGAGTGGAGGCGGGAGGATGTAAAGTTCAAGGTCATTCTCAGCTAAATATACAAGTTTGAGAACAACTTGTGCTACATGGGATCCTAAAACACTATGTTTAAAAATAAAAGGCAAAAAAAAGTAAAATGTAACAAATAGAGGGCATGAGAGTATTTACATAATGCCTATGAAATAACAATTCAATAAAACAATGTACTTAATGCACAACTTTATTGCTAATATGGACAATTAAATTTTTTAAAAATTATAAAACGATATACAGTTCTTTCTCTGCTTTCTCCATTGGTATTCAATACCTTATCTTGTCCCTTATCAAGTGACCTAAGATTTATCAAATTTACTGTAGATGACTATGAGGAAGTGGTGTTATAAGAGAATTTATTTCTGTAGTGATCCTTGTTTCTGGAGAAAGTTGTAAGGAAGCTGTGCTACAGCATATTTTTTCAATCACAACCAAACTTCCCACCCAGAGGACGATGTGTATTGCCTGAAGGGGGTTGGCCATCTGGTGTCATCTCCATCCTCATGTTGATCATCTGAACTAATAATTTTGATTTGAAAGGAAGTCATCCTATAGAAAATTTGTGCACTCTTGCCTAAATATACTTTTCACTCACATGATCTCAGCTGTTTTCCCACCAACCCTACTCCTGCTTCTTCCTTAGCAACATGTAAAGTGCATCACACACGAGGAGAGAGAGGAGAGAGGAGAGAGAGAGAGAGAGAGAGAGAGAGAGAGAGAGAGAGAGAGAGAGAGAGAGAGAGAGAGAGAGAGAGAGAGAGAGTTAGTTTTAGGGTGGGGTGGATTCTTTTCATTGATGGCTCTCCTTTAAGATAGTGAGGCCAGAGGTGTGATTCCCGAAGGGGTTTGAGGTTGTAGTTACTGAATTGCTCTCAAGTGCAGCGGTGACAGCAAGCACAAAACAACATTCATGTTGTAGCTGTCAGAACCACTGGGGATGTGATAAGCACCTTGTGTTTGCAAGCTCAGATGCTGTACCAAAGAAGTTCTGCCTTAGCAAATCACCACGATGTTGACTTGCTCCGTTCAACTCGTTCGGACTCTGTAATGAGAAAGTCCATTAAGCTTGCATAACTTTATACTGTGAGCAATAGACAAGTGTGGAAGAGGATGGGGCGATTAGAGGATTCTTCTGCAGCGTGTTTTTTTTTTTGTTGTTGTTGTTTTGTTTTTTGTTTTTGTTTTGTTTTTCCCGGAAGCCCCAGATTTGTAAAAATCCCTGCCTTCATCTGTTCCCAATGATATTCGGAGAGTTCAAAAGGATTTCATAACTGTGCTTAAACTGAACTGCAGAAGTCAGGTTAAGACCGCGGGGGAGAATGGATATGTCCAAAGCTTAAGTCTGAACATTCATGGTGCTTACATGAACCCAAACCACAATTCCTATGACTTCTTTGTTTCCTGTATTCCTTCATCACCCAGATCCAGACACCACTCCCTACTCCAAACACACATAGTCCTTAGATCCATCCATGCTCATTGGCAGGACACAAACTATTTTCCTGCCTCTATACTCGTCAAACACGGATGGTGCCACTGATCCTTTACCTACAGGCCTTCATCTCTTCAGCGTCTTCTTTTGGTCCTCTTTGTGACGTGCGGGCCCTCAGCCAATGCCCTGGCGCTTGCCTCACAAAGGCCTGAGCAACCGCACACCTGCGCTCGAGCTCCAGGCATTCAGGCTGGCTTGGACTCAGGTCCTGCCGCGCCAACGCCAGAAAGGCTCAGAAAGCGAGCCCTGGTAATTCCACCACTCATCATGGCCAGCCAATTCTGCGTTCCTCTAGCCCCACGCCTCTCACCCCTTAAACCTTTGAAATCCCATTTCACAGACTTCCAGGTGGGCATCTGTGTGGCGATCCAGCGCAGGGACAAACGGATCCACCTGGCTGTGGTCACAGAGATCAACAGAGAAAACTCTTGGGTCACAGTAGAGTGGGTTGAGAAAGGAGTCAAAAAGGGAAAGAAGATCGAACTAGAGACTGTATTTCTGTTGAATCCAGCTCTGGCCTCTGCTGAACACCAACGGTCACAGAGACCCCTGCGCCCAGTATCTGCAACACCCAGTACTGCCATCGGGGACCAGCGAACAGCCACCAAGTGGATTGCGATGATCCCGCACAGAAATGAAACACCATCAGGGGACAGTCAAGCCCTGGTGGTCCCCAGTAACCCTTGTCTGATGAAGCGGAAGAAATCCCCCTGCCTAAGGGAAATTGAAAAGCTGCAGAAGCAGCGAGAGAAGCGCAGGCGACTGCAGCTAGAGATCCGAGCTAGACGAGCGCTGGACATCAACACTGGAAACCCGAACTATGAGATTATGCGTATGATTGAGGAGTACCGCAGACATCTGGACAGCAGCAAAATATCCAGCCTGGAGCCCGCAGAAGACCACCGGATCTGTGTGTGCGTGAGGAAGCGCCCTCTTAATGAGAGAGAGAACACCATGAAGGACCTAGATATCATCACTATCCCCTCGCACAATGTGGTCACGGTGCACGAATCTAAACAAAAAGTGGACCTAACCCGCTACTTGGAAAACCAGACCTTCTGTTTTGACCATGCTTTCGACGACACGGCATCCAATGAGTTAGTTTACCAATTTACTGCCCGGCCTTTGGTGGAGTCCATCTTCCGAAAGGGCATGGCCACTTGCTTTGCCTATGGGCAGACTGGCAGTGGAAAAACCCACACCATGGGTGGAGCCTTTTCTGGAAAGGCTCAAGATTGTTCGAAAGGCATTTACGCCCTGGTGGCTCAGGATGTCTTTCTCCTACTGAGAAACCCTGCCTATGAGAAATTAGAACTCAAAGTCTATGGCACATTTTTTGAGATTTATGGTGGCAAAGTCTACGATCTGTTAAACTGGAAGAAGAAGCTTCAAGTCCTCGAGGATGGAAATCAGCAAGTGCAAGTTGTGGGGCTGCAGGAGCAGGAGGTGTCTTGTGTGGAGGAAGTCCTGACTCTGGTGGAGCTCGGAAATAGCTGTCGGACTTCCGGACAGACTTCTGTCAACGCCCACTCATCCAGGAGTCACGCAGTGTTCCAGCTCATCCTTAAGTCGGGAGGGAAACTGCATGGCAAGTTTTCCCTTGTTGACTTAGCTGGGAATGAAAGGGGGGCAGATACTGCCAAGGCCAACCGAAAGAGGCAGCTGGAAGGGGCTGAAATAAATAAGAGTCTCCTAGCCCTGAAGGAATGCATCAGGGCCTTGGGTAAGAACAAGTCTCATACCCCATTCAGAGCCAGCAAACTCACGCAGGTGCTCCGGGACTCCTTCATAGGCCAGAACTCCTCCACATGCATGATTGCTACTATCTCACCCGGAATGACTTCGTGTGAAAACACCCTCAATACTTTAAGATACGCAAACAGAGTTAAAGAATTAGCCCTAGAGGCCAGACCCTACCATCATTGCCTCTCTCCAGCTGGTCATGAAGTACCACTAATGTTAGAAAAGGACAATACGAATTTAGAAAATTCCCTTCAGAGGGATAAATTTATTCAAATACCTACTATACAGAGTGGGGAAGAAAAAGAAAGTGATGAAATCACATTAGCAAAGGACCCAGCCGCTTCATGGAGGAGATCTAGCCGGTGGTGGGAGGCCATCCAGGAGACAGCTGATGGAGTAAACTGCGACGTGGATTTTTACATTGCCCAGTCACTGTCCATTCTGGAGCAGAAAATCGGTGTGCTGACTGAGATCCAAAGGAAGCTCCAGTTACTACGTGCTGACCTCCAAAAGAAAAACCAAGTCGAGTGACAGCAAAGGCCGGAGATCAGGAATGAAATCTTGGATCCAGTTCTGAAGCTTCTACCTCTTATTACAGGAGAAATCTGTCCAAATTATCTAAGTATAAAGGTCCCCTGGAGAGCTTACATCTTAAATCATCCTCTTCAAAAAATGTGGTCGTTTCTTCTTCCTCTGTATTTCCATAGTGTAGTTTGCTTTCATTCTGTGTGTCACTGTAAAGAATTTGCCTTGTCCCTGTCAGTACTGAGAACTGGCAATGTTAAGAAACTTATGGATTGTTATAACTGGGGTAAAGGGATGATGACATAATGTGGATCACTAGAGAGCTTGCTAAATATTCTATAATATGAGGAATTTCCTCCCACACAAATAATTATCTATTTTTTTTGAAAATTAAAATAGTCCTCAGGTTGAGAAACCCTGCTGTAGAAGAAACCATCTGCAATGAAATTAGATTCCCTAAATTTGTAGTTGGCAAAGCAAAATACCGTGAATTAAAGTGATGAGCACAAAAACACCAAGGAAGAGTCAATCAGATACCCACTTACAAATCTTTCTCATTTGCACTGTTGTGTTGATTCAAGTGGTTTCTAAGATTGAGTCATTCTAGAAAGAGCAAGAAAAGTCAGCTGTCTGGGAGCCTAGAATTGAGAGGGTTTTGTTTATATCTTAGCATTTAAGTTGTAATTATTGTAATTATTACTGAGCCGTGTGTGTGTGTGTGTGTGTGTGTGTGTGTGTGTGTGTGTGTGTGTGTGTTTCTGTTCATGTAGAGAATTTTGATTGATGTCTAATTTTTCACATATTGTTATATTTTTCACTGGTATGCTGTGAAACCAGAATTCCAGGTTTCAAATTGGGGCAAGAGTCAGCAAACCAACAGGAAACTTCCCATATAAAGGGCAACATATCCCACAACTGTCTAAAGCACATGAAAAGATCATGAGAAAATTTAATGTCTTGCATCAATTAAATATGGAGAACTTTATAGATTTAAGAGTCAAGAAGTCTATCTTTTAAAAAGAAGAATGTTAATCTAATATGGGAATGGAAATATAATAATTTAATACACACAATAAATTAGTGCCCTAATATCAACAAACACCTAAGAATGGGATCCTGTGACTCCAAATCTGTCAGTTCTAAGCTCATCTGTAAAGACCTCAAGTGATTTACACTGTAAGTATAAGACAAGTCTGGGGAAAAATGGGGACACAAAAATGTAGCCTCCAAATTTTGGAGCCACATTTAGCAAGAATAGCTTATTGTTTCAAACTCTAATAATACGAAGGCCTGAAAGGAACTGATGACAATTTTATTTAAGGTGACCAAACATATAGTAATTGAATACTAGCACCTAGGAAGAGCAGAGTGTGAAACCAGCATGGACCTTCGGTCTTTAGTAGCTCATATACTTGTCATTAAATGTGTTTCTATGTTGATTGATTTCTTCAGATGAAATTGTACATTATTATTAAAACAGCCAGAACTTTTCAAATTAAACTTTAGTATAAGATGACTGATTCATTAAATAAAAACTTCCTTCAACAAAGAAAGAATGGGACATCCACAAAATACAGCACCATAAGCTGCCGTAAGAGCAGGCACCTACAATCACATCAAAGCTGGAGGAAGTAACCCAGTAGGAGGAGAAAGGCCACAAAGTTGGCAAAACAGTCTGAGACAAGGCCTGCACCCACTGCTAGGAATCCCACAAGAACACCAAGCTACTACTCAGCTACTAATAATATGCAGAGGACCTGTGTTAGGCTGCTACAGTCTAGCCCCTGATTTCTGTGAGTTCCAATAACTCTTGGTCAGATTATTCTGTGGGCCTTGTTCTGTGGTGTGGAACCCTCTGGTTCCTCTGGTCCTTCCTCTCCCTCCTCCACAGGAATCTCTAAGCTCCGCCTAAAGTTTGGCTGTGAGGCTCTGCATCTACCCCCATCACTTGCTGGATGTCCCTGGGAGGCGCACTCTTTCATTCTTTTCTGAGAGAAGAGAGAGGGTAACAGATCTAGGTTCAAGGAGAGAGACTGGGGAGAGGGGAGGGAGGGAAAACCATGGTTGGGATGAAATACATGAGAGAAGAACAAAAATGTACTCTCTCTCTCTCTCTCTCTCTCTCTCTCTCTCTCTCTCTATATATATATATATATATATATATATATATATATATATATATATATATAAATGAACAGGGTAAAAATCTGGGGCAGAGGAGGGTGGTTCAGTGGGTATGAGGTTTTGCTGTACAAGCAGGTATATGTGGGATCTGAGCCCCAACACCCATGTTAAGAGCAAAATGTGGTAATTCACTTCTATAACACTAGCACTTAAGGGGAGTGGGTACATATTGGGAAAGATTGCTGGAGAGCAATCTGGCGGCCAAGTGGCAAGCCTCAACTTCAGTAAGCGACCCTGTCACAAGAGGATGAAGTGGACTGTGATAAAGCAGGATGCCTGATGTCTTCCACTATATTATATAACCATTGGGAGTGTGCAGACAGGCACAAATGCATAACAATGTACATGCATGTGCATGCATGCGCACACACACATACACATACATGTGCTCACACACATAGAAACTACCCTCACTTGTAGTTCTTACTGAGATGATTTAATGAAAAGATAAGGTTGTTTGATTTTCCCCTCCCTTTGTCTTATCAGTTATGGCCATTAAAACTTACGTTTTTATTATCACCATTGTTCTACTTATGATTTCAAGTATCCCAACAGTTATATCACACATAAAAGTTTGGATAAACTACTTGGACTTTGAGCCTTCTGATATCAATTATTTTGTTTTCTAACAAGTATAAAGTTTGAAGTCATTATGGCTCAATGCTTTACAAGGTAAATTCACCTGGGCGAGGACCACACACTAGATATAACCATAGTTTTCTAGCAGCTTCCTCCTCACTTCATATGGGATAATGTTTCAGATATGGATGCAACCCTGGGTTGCTTCTTTCAGTCACAATTACGTGTATTCTGACTTTTGACATTGCCCCTTAGGATTCGGGCACACACACACACACACACACACACACACATACATTATATATATATATATATATATATATATATATGGAATTCCTCAGTGTGTGATATATGCACATTCAGCAAAATTGGTCATGCTAAGGGGTTTTCTAAAAGATATTTTACCAACATCACATAATCATACTCATCTATGTATGTTAGCGATGCTTCAGTTTTACCAACATGACAGATTCTTTCATATATGCACACGTGAACACACATCTGAAAGATACTAGTTAGCATATCAGTGTACAATAGTGTTACTTTCCCCGAAGTTGGGTGTTCACTGTAGCACATAGACAAGTCATGTAATCAGCAATTAACCTGTGAGTGGATAAAATGTGTATACATAAGCAAGTTTTATTAAGCAGAAAAGAATGAAATTGTGTCCTTTGAAATGAAATTGATGCTACTGTATACCCTCATGTAAGATGAGACCAGCATCACAAAGATAGTACTCTGTTTTCTCTCTTATGTGGAATCTATGAGTTTAAAAAGAGGCAGTGGCCAAAGGAGAAAACAGGAAAAGAGAGAGGAGATGGTAAAAGGTAAAGTTAGGAGAATAATTAGCCAAGCCCAGAGGTGAGCTCCTTGATTGATTATCCAGTACAAAGTACTCATCCTTGAAAGCATATACACACAGATAACAAGAATGGATTCAGCAGGTTTATGCACATTATATGATGTGTGTGTAGTAACAATAATAAAAAGCTATCAATTTGAGAGTGGGTGTGACAGAGGAGGGCTTAGAGAGGACATGGGGGAGCTGGAGGGAGGAATTTAAAATTTTTTTTGTTTTTTGGTTTTCTTTTTTCAAAATAAGGTTTCTCTATGTAGCCCAGGCTGTCCTTGAATTTGCTACATAGACTAGGCTGGCCTTGAACTCTGAGATCCACTTCCCTCTTCCTCCTGAGTTCCGGGGTTAAAGGCATGTGCCACCACCTCCCAGCTTAAATATTTAAAACTAACAATTTAAAAAATATTTAAAGTGATAAAAATAAAAAATAAGGTAGGGTGAACATGATCAAAGTATAGTACATGTATATATGTAAATGTTGTAATGGAGTTCATTACTTTGCATAATTATTATATGCTAACAAAAACCAAAAGAAGTCATTGGAAAATGAAGCAAATTCCTGGTAATAATTCCACCTACATATTTATTCTTCCATCAAGGAGATGTTATAAATGTATTACATTGTATATTTTTGCATGTGGTGTGTAGTATACATATTCATATATACTGATGAATATATTTCCCAGGAATTCTGCTGTGCATATCTGCAGATCTTTGCTCCCCTTGAGTTTCTTCAATTCATCATCAGTCAAATGTATATTACCCTGTCCACTGGTTTTAATCATTTTCTGGGCCAGGCCTTGTGGCTTATGCCTGTCACCAGAGCAGCAGTGAAGCAGTGTATGGCAGGACTCTGATTTTAAGGCCAGCCTGGTGTACATAAGTTCTAGGACCACCTGGGCTACATAGAGAGATCCTGTCAAAGAAAAAACAAAACAAAACAAAACATTTCTTAGGAATCCATATGGCCCTTGAAATGATGGGAAAATATGTATCAAATAAAATATTCTGTAATGAAACATTCTCAGGAAGCAAATCAACTGGAGTTCACTAGGAGGACTGTTGACAATTTGAGCAGATGCCCTGCAGTTAAAAAGGAGGATTGTAAAGTAAATTAACACTCTAATAAGATTGTAAGGAAAATGTCAGAGCTCCCAATCTGAGAAAAATAAATACTCCTAGTACTTTGAAAGCATCCATTTACACACGAAAACCTTGGCATGCTAATTATAAGCTATGCTTATCTATTAATTAAAGTAGATTTTCTCGTAGTGGACAGACATTTTAAATTACTGTGTGAACTTGCAACTAATAAAAACTGGCATTAAAATTCTAAGCTAAAGGTTTCATATCTGCAAAATTTCCTTCTATTATTAGCTTGCAATAG